TCAGGACTGTCTGATGTGGAATTACAAAATAAGAGCACCCACAAACTCACATATATGTGTTGTTTTGTGTCTACTTTCACAAAGATATAAAAATTAAAGTTCTAGATTGCACAGACCAGTTCCACCGGAGATTGAGAGGATACCTTGACACGGTATCAACTACAGAATGACAAGATGTTCCGATGTTGAATTTCACATATAAAAATGTTTAATATTATCATCATTTAGTCTTTTCTTTCACATTTTTCACAAAACAGTGTTTATACTCAATTCAATCAAAACGATTTATAATTTACAACTATCAACAATAATTTAAAAGAACAACTGCATACTTAAACCAAAAAAAAAAAAAGATCCAATCCGTTTTAATCAAAGGATTTAAGAGCACAATATGCAGTTCCAGTTGTTAGCTCTGGCCTGTTCCAGGTCTTCATCGGCCATACCCAGGCACTCTTCATGGTACCACCTTTCACATGTGTCACGTTGGATCTAGAAATGTATAAGTCGGAAATATCAGGGAACTGCTAAAGTTTAATATTGCTATTGCTTTTCACTTTCCCATTCTCTTTTATCAAGTGGTTAACAAACTCACCCAATTTATCAAACGATGCACAGATCCAGTAGTCTTTTTAAGTGAACACATGGCACAGTTTTCGGCTTCATCGAACACTGCAATATTCATATAAACAAAAATTAATTAGTAACACAAACAAATATTTTACTGTCCATCCAGCCTTTAAATCAGGCTTTAAAACAGTTTATTACCTCCAGTGACAATAACAATGTGTGTTACTTGTTTTATGTACATTGGCGGTGGCATGCATATAAACAGTGCGTTTACATCCCCTTCATTTTGGTGAACACCTTAAGGTCACTATATATCTGTGGGGTTGCTGTTTATATGACATTGCAGATAAAATACTTTCATTTATTCAGGCCTCCGCATAGTCATCTGGCATCTGTAGTTGTTATTTTCCATAGTTGTTAACTTAAGTTGTTAACTTAGTAAGTTTGTTTCCATGGATTACCCTTGATTGTAGATAGATCTATCAGATGTATGTAGGTAATGCAAGATTATAATATACTGTATTGATAAACTACTGTTTTTTCCCCCTTGAACTTATTAGCATGCGATAATACTGTGACATCCATGCATTTTGTGGCAGCTTTAAAGTAATAGTGTCAAATCTTTGTATGACTGTTGACCCTTATAAGACAATTCTTAACTGGCGTGATCTCTCTCTTTGCTGAAAAGTGACATTCTTATTATAACCATATCTAACTGGCAAGCTGCTTAACAGACTTGGTAAGCATGAGAGTTTTCTTTCAAAAGCCATTAAAATAGTGATGTTTACCATCTTTGGACTGGCACTGTATATTGTAAAGTAAAAAAATAATTTACAAACTACTTGATTATTGTAAACCACTAGTTAACAAACTGCAGTTAATACATTAATCGACTTTATACAAACACTGATTTCGTAAGTCATTGTCACTGTAATCAACACTGTTAGTAACACTTTATAATAAGTGTATAATAACACTAACTACGATTGATAAATGATGTAGAAGTATTGTCCATTCTTAGTTCATGTTAACTAAATTAGTTAACCTATGTTCATTTCAACATTTACTAATGCATAATCACAATACAAATTTGTGCTTGTTAACATTAGTTAATGCACTGTAAATTTACATGGACTGATCATGACAATAACATTAACAAAGATTAATAATTACTGTAATAACGTTTTGTTCATTGTTTCATCACTGTAGTTAATACATTAATACATTAACTAACATTAACAAATGTAACCTTATTGTAAATTGTTACCACAATTTCTTATTGTTTAATTACCTCATTTATAAATAGTTACATAATGCTTTAACAACTTATTAACCATACATGGTTTTTAATTTAGATTAGATCAAGGAATATTGGAAAATGTCATTAATTAAGTGTTTTGCAAAATGTACAATTCAATGTTGTAAACCTTATAATGAACAGTGAAATGAAGGTCCAATAAAGGCTGGTTTTAGGCACTTAGTTCATGACATTTTCGGATTTTACTTGACCTAATCTAAATAGAGAACTTCTTATCATTAATAAGTTATTAACTAACCATTAACTAATTCAATACATATATGAGGTAATTAAGCAGTAACATTTCATTAATTAGGGGCCAAGCACAAGTTCGAAAAAGTAGGTTTTCAACATAAATCAAAATGGTGGACAGGAAGTTCGGCCAATTATGGTATAATTGGTATCGATGTTCTCAGCATGATCCAAGGAATCTATCAACATCAGTCTCATTTCAATAGGCTAATGTAAGCAAAAATCAATCGAAATTTCATTATATCTTCATTAAATTTCATTAAAGCCCGCAAACTTTTTGAGTACCAACAGGGCATGGTGCTGAAGAAGCATACCAAGTTTCGTAATGATACGTCAATGCGTTCGTAAAATATAGCCTTTTAAGACAAAATTCAAAATGGCCAACGCCTAAAATGGCTGACATGGGAAAATTGGGTATCATTCGACTAGGTATGATGCACCGAATCTAAAGAGACTGGTTTTGTGATTGTTCTCCTCATTTTGCCTTTGGAGTGCTTGGCCCTGTAACTGTTGCTTACAGCTATATGTATAGTTAATTTCGTTAATTGTAGTTAATGAACAAGTCACTATTTATAAATAGTCTATTAACTTAATTAACTTAAAAGTTTATACAATATTAACTACTATCTAATACTTTGCAAATGATTTGTAAGTGATTTGCTAGTGTATACTATTGTTATTGTTAAATTGTTACCAAATATTTTTTCTAATACTGTTTTACTTTAAACTTGACTTCTGCTTTATGTATTTGAATTTTGATTTTTGAGTCAGATCTGAAAAGCTGCATTTTATTAAATATTCCAGCACACTGCAGACAAGAACTTGCTTTACAAACCTGATGCTTTGAGTATCTGCAGAGCCATCATTTTCCGTTCATTGGCCATTTCCTTTCTGGAAGTTCCAAAATGTAAAATGGGAACAGCTGGAAATACCTTCATTATTCCCCTTGCCATCTAAAAAAAAAATCAATGATATAAGACCATCATGTACTGTGTCAGACTCCAGGATATGGCAGCTTTCCTAACTAGAATTCAGTCAAGTTCTATAAACATTGGAACAGAAACATTTACTTAATATAAAGAAGATAACAGAGAGGGAGGTATTACAGTACACTTCACATACCAAGACGACAATGACCCCACAGCTACTGCCATCCTGTTGGACTGGATGTGTCATAACACCTCCTTTCCACTGTATATCCACCCACTCCGTTTTTCCATAGTACGTACTCCTCATTTGTAGGTACTCACTGGGTGTGATGTATAATTTGAATATTTATTAATTAGGAACAAAGTGCATAAAATCTGATATCAAATTACTAGTCTATTCCAAATGTAAAACTCTTATTACTTAATTATTATAGTCTTCTTTTACTCTTAGTTTCCAGAATGTAAACAATGTAAATAATTGTATTAGTTTAAAGTCATACAAAGTCTAAACAATATTTCCATCAATTGTGATTTGATTAATTTAACCTTTAGGCCTCCTGGTCAGTAATTACTTGTGATATGGGAAAAATAGCAATATGACATACTGACATCTTTTAAATACTTCAGTGTATGCATGCCTATTGGGTTCCCAATATGGTGTACCCCTGTGGTGAATGCAAATCTATTAAAATGTATCTTTAGTATCCCCAGCAACTGAACATCTTCACTACAGTCGATGTTTGCTATAGATGTCTGAACTCCCAAGATCATAAGCAAGTCTTGCCTTCACAACAATAACCAGTTCAAACGGTTATTGTTGAGCTGAATGCCAGTACTTGAGCTGAATGCTAGCTCATGGCCAGCTTCTTCCAGTCAACCATAAACTTACTGAAATCTGCATTACACCGGTAGGAACGTATGTTTTAACAGAAATCTATCCATTGGTTGTGCATCCAAATGCATTTTTCACACAGAAACGCATAGGCTATAAAGAACCACAGACTATTTAACCATATGTTTATGACCAACACAAATGGTCCATTTTAGTTAACTGTACAGGAAGTAATATAGGACAAATCAGTAATTACATTGGCTTGAGAAAACCAACTTACTGCTATTCTATTTAAGGTTTTTATTATTAAGTTGGCTTGAGAAATCTATCTATCTATGTCTATCTATCTATCTGTCTGTCTGTGTCTGTCCGTCCGTCCGTCCGTCCGTCTGTCTGTATTTTTTTCACCTGCTGTATATATTTACTTGTTCAGTTATTTATTTAGTGTAGATTTATATATTATATATTATTTATATATTATTATAATAGTAGCACAACGCTACTATTTGAAATTGTATAGATGCTAAATTTCATTTTGTTGCTGAGTACTTGTAATGTTTAATGAAAATAATGTTGTATCTCAAGATGATGAGTAATGTCCCACCAATGTCAACACCTTGTACACATTCTATGCCGTGACAGTTATGCACCCAAAAGCAAAACCTTTAAATGTGTAATCACAGTAGATAAAGTCATTAAAGGGGTCATATGATGCGATTTCAAGTTTTCCTTTCTCTTTGGAGTGTTACAAGCTCTTGGTGCATAAAGAAGATCTGTAAAGTTGCAAAGACTAAAGTCTCAAATCCAAAGAGATATTCTTTATAAAAGTTAAGAGTCAGCCACTCCTACCTAAAACGCCTCGTTCTAACACGCCCCCACATGTCTACGTCACGATGTGGAAAATATTAGCATAATGCCGCAAAATGTGCACGCAAAGAAAGAAGGCATGGTTTCAGGAATAGCAGTAATGTTGATGCAGCATGTCAGGGAGACACTGTGTTTCAGTGCAAAAGCAAAAGCACTTTATTTGGCCTTCCGGAAGTAAATGCAATTAGGAATCATTGGTTAAGATTTATTTACAACAGAACAGCACAACCCAGATGTTCGAATTTGTGCATCGCATTTTATGGACGACAGTAACAAAAACCTGCTGAAATGGAGTGAGGTGGGCCCTTTGTTAGTGTGGAGGTAAGTAAATATAGAAAATTCTGTGCAACTACATGCACGTAGCCATAGAATGTGGCTTAAGGATGTGAGAATGAGTAACACAAAGAATACCTGAATTTTTTGGCAGCATGAATTGAGTCATCTTCCTCTGTAGAACTTTTTGAAGGATCTACCAGGTACACAGTGTGGTTGACCGCATTTATGCACTGAAAATGATAAGGTGAAACAACTGCTACTAATACTGAGTAGATCCAGACTTGGTAATGACATAGTGAAGTTATTCACCTACTCACCAGAAACTTCCAATGGACATTGTCAGTGTTCACAAAAGAAACAATTCCCTGGTAATTGTCAATGTTAATCTATCAAAGAACACATACATTATATCAGCTTTGCAAACCATTATTAAGTACATTTACCTTTTAAAAGTATTATGAAGTGAACCATAATTCTGTATGTAGTTTTGCAAACTGATTTTTTCTTATATACTTAAGATATATAATATTGGTCTATGGAAACACATACACACAAAATTGCATATCCATACTATAGTCCATCCACTGTAACTACCTTTGACAAACTTTGCCGGGCAAGCTGAGGTCTTTCCCCAAACAAATTCACACCTGCTGTGTAGTGATCAAGAATGTAAATGGAATTCCCCATCTCTAGCTCATTGGCAGCAATATGAAACAGGGCTTCAATTATCTATGGAAAACAATTGCGTATTTTTACAAAATTTGTGTTATACATTAAGAGTACAACATTTAGAAACCCTTGATCACATTATTGTTCTATCAAGAATATATATTTTTCTTATTATTATTTACAATATAAAAAATGCTAGTTTCCATGTAACATCAGCAAGATTGCAACAATTTGTACTTTTATCTCAAAATGAATCATTGTGTTTCAATTTAACCATTTCAATATTGCAATGTATACACACAGAAACACATAGGCTATAAAGAACCACAGAGTATTTAACCATATGTAACCCTGGACCACAAAAGCAGTCATAAGGGTCAATTTTTCGAAATTGAGATTTACACATCATCTGAAAGCTGAATAAATAAGCTAGTTAGGATAGGACAATATTTGGCTGAGATACAACTATTTGAAAATCTGGAATCTGAGGTTGCAAAAAAATCTAAATACTGAGAAAATTGCCTTTAAAGTTGTCCAAATGAATTCTTTAGCAATGCATATTACAAATCAAAAATTAAGTTTTGATATATTTATGGTAGGAAATTTACAATATCTTCATGGAACATGATCTTTACTTAATATCCTAATGATTTTTGGCATAAAAGAAAAATCAATAATTTTGACCCACACAATGTATTGTTGGCTATTGCTATAAATATACCCCAGCGACTTAAGACTGGTTTTGTGGTCCAGGGTTACATATGTTTATGGCAACACAAATGGTCCATCTTAGTTAACTGTACAGGAAGTAATATAGGACAAATCAGTAATTACATTGGCTTGAGAAAACCAACTTACTGCTATTCTATTTAAGGTTTTTATTATTAAGTTGGCTTGAGAAATCTATCTTTCTATGTCTATCTATCTGTCTGTCTGTCTGTCTGTCTATCTGTCCGTCCGTCCGTCCGTCCGTCCGTCCGTCTGTCTATTGCCTTTAAGCCTCAAACCATCAAGGCAAGCTTTAAAACAACTTAAACTTTTAAAGGACTTCAAACTTCAAGCTTTTAAGAAATACTTAAAAGTTACATGCTATGGCTTTCTCAAGCCAAGTTCAAGTTTGTCTACAAACTTTTATATCTCATTCCACATTAACACTTCAACTAACACTATGAACTACTAAGGAAACAAGATTAACTAACCAGAAAGTTCCATTCCATTTAGGATTGAAGTAGTTCCTTGTTAGGTAATCAATAATTGATACATGAGATTACACAATTGCCAAGTACTTAAGAATCACAACATTAACATTTCTGAGACATAGTGCATTATATTTTTACTGTCAATATGGCCACAAAAAGCATTGCTACTTAATCAGGAGTTATGTAGTCAGTCTGCATGGAACTACTAGCAGTAAACATTGTTTTTCACTTCAAAGTAATGGTCCAAATCATTAGCAGTTCCTTAAAAGTTACTAGGTAACATCTGATTATTTACCAATGCATTTTATGACCATGTAAAGAGTTAAAAAGACAACTGCTCACGTCTCAGACATATTATTGTTGTGACGAGTATATAATTATTTAGTAGTTCTTTATTATTTGTCATTGTTAATTTGTAGTTCTTAATGAGTCTAATCTCATTTTGTAATTTTTGGTTACCTAATAAGCAGTCTTACATGGAATTTTACTTTCATATTTGTTGTTTCCATATTAGTTAATTGTGGTAGCTGGAGTGTTAATATAGATCTACTCATTATTCCTGCACTACATTCTGTACAGTTATGTATTAAAGATGGACCTTTATTGTATAGTATATACGTATGTTTATAATTTTTAACTAAAGGTTTATAGTTCTGAAAAGTAACTTAAGCTTATATAACTACATTTTAACGAGAAAGAAATGTATGTTGTACCTCGCCAGTTAGCCACTGGTGTGGCTGAAGTGTACGCAGCTCACTGTGACGAATGACCATTGATGTTCCTTTGGTTTGTGTAGGGATCACTGAAACCACAACCTCAGTGTCTCTCCTTTTCCACAAAGAGGTGAGCTAAAAATTTCAACCAAACATGACAGATAGTTAAACAGAAATTTAATGTGTTTCAATTAGATTTTAAATTTTAACTACTGTATTTATTCTTTCTACTGTTCAAACTAACTAGAACCTTTAAAAGGTACTACTATGAGTTTGAACATTTGATAAAAGAAAGCATTCTTACTTGATGCTGTGGGGTTGCTGTTGTCTTTACTGTTGCCTTAGATTTGTTTGAGATCTCCCCATGTACAGCCTTTTCATCCACAATGTCTTCATGGTCCCCCTCCAGGGATGACCTTGGCTGTGGTGGCGAGCTTTGATTTGCAACGGGACCCTCAGACACTGAGGACTATCAACAGTTTAAAAACAGATCAGATTTTTAAGGAGCCTCATGAAACAGTGCTTCTGTTTGTCTTTTAAACCAATTTTGTTTATTTTTTGCAATACATCATTCCTCATTTTTTTCAAGAGACCAGTTGTTTGCAGATGATTCAGTTGTAATTTATATTTAAGGGATTTTGGTGTTACATATGTTAGAGTAGTAAAAATGTTTGGACTGCCTGAAATTTCCATGGGTGCATAAGAATTAGGACCGTTATGTTATGTGAAGATTATGAATTTAATTTACTTCTGTACCTTCTTGTTTGATGTCTTGAAAAGGAAAGGCTTGCGGATTGGTGTGACATATCTTCCCCGTTTTTTCTGTTGCTTTTCTTTCCATCTTTCTTGTTCTACTCGGTAAGTCTACATAAAGTAAGGGAATTGTAGATCTGGTTTACATATCAAAGCATAGAATGAAATGAGAAACTACATGTAATTCTCCTAATATAGTCTTTTCCTTAAAAAAACTAATACCCATCACATCTTCAATGACACGTTTCTTAAAATATTCGAACCTTCCTTCGGAAAACTCTTTCGGAGTCCTCATACTCCTTCAGGAGTGCAGTGTGGCTAATCTGATACTGGGCTACAAAGTCATCAAGCCTGGTGAGCCGGCCAGAAGTAAAACGAATATGTTTTAAGTCCCACTGGCTCTTTTCCATTATTCCTTGAGTTTTATTATCCTGTGTAATGTTCTGACAAAGGATACAAAGACAGGTGACATAATTTAGCAGTACAACAAAATAAGAGTTCTGACACAATTTACTGTTATGGTACAAACTATATAATTACTTGTCTTGTAAGCTTTCTCAGGGCATTGTATCTCCTGGAGCACTGCTCATATTGTGGTCCTGTCCCATGTCGTCCAAGGTCACCTTTGTATTTAAAGAAAATGAAACATTTTGTCAAATTGTCAGAAAACACACAGTCTGATATTTCAGTCCAAAAAGGGAAATGTGGCATAGTTATGACAAACCTAGCATTATCCCGGTCCATAATCCAGCAAATGGTAGAATGTATTTCTTGAGGTGATCGATAAGCCCTTTGCATTGGTACACATTGAGCTCTCCATGCTTGTCCAGCGGGGCATTTGAAATAATTGCATTGCAACGTTTTGCAAATCTGTTGCTTCCTGTAATGTCCTAAAAATAATGCAACAATGTGTTATTAGAGGTGTGTTTTACAGTTTTTCTCAGTTGCTTTGGAGCATTTCTCAGATCAGAAATGAAATTTTCAAAACTACTTGTTCAACCTCCACATCATGTAGTATCTTGTGCACATCATAAAAGCAATCTCTCACTGCTTTGAACAAATTGTGAATACTTTTGTACAACCATTTAATTGACTGTGCACAACTGTCTGCTGTTTCCCACATTATCAATTGTTTTTGTAATGCTGATCCAAAAATATTATACTGGTTCTCAATAAAAATTAAAAATGTTTAAAATGGATAAACAACCAGTAAACAAACATGGTCAAGAGCAAGGAATAATAATAATAATGCGTGATGGAAGGGTAGGGAGGCAAAATAGAGGAAGAGGAAGAAGATGCCAGAGACATAGACACATTTCAGATTAAATTAGAGCCTCACAGTAGCCGAGGCAAGACAGAGGGTACAGCCAAATATTGGAGTTTATATTGCACTGTATGATGCTGCATGCACAGTTCTGCATGCACAAGGATTTTTTTCTATGTTTACCTCAGTAATTTTATATTTTTCTCCACTGGCTTTTGTGTCTTTTAATTTTCTATCCCAATGACTCACAGTAGCCGAGGCAAGACAGAGGGTACAGCCAAATATTGGAGTTTATATTGCACTGTATGATGCTGCATGCACAGTTCTGCATGCACAAGGATTTTTTTCTATGTTTACCTCAGTAATTTTATATTTTAATTTTATATAAGACTTTTGTGTCTTTTAATTTTCTATCCCAATTACATTGTAATGTAATTTTTTGGTCCGACCATAAGTACATTACATTAAAAGTGTGAATACTGTCCATTCTCTTGTAATCAATATCCCACATACAGTAATGTGTAAATTTGTGCTGTTGAAATTTATATATTCCATACATAAGAAATTCAGCCTTGTGCATTTTCAATGTAACCCAAACCATAGTTTACATCTGGACATACTGAAACCATGCACTGACAGACTGACAACATGACTTAAACATTTTGACTGTCTTGCTTGTGAACAATGACAAAAGGATTTGTCATTATCATGTCAATGATCTGTTTCTTGACACAAATACTTACTTTTGAGAGATTAACTATGGATTTTTAGCAAAGTACAGACTTTTGCAAGTAATCCATTGTGTAATGCTGTTTGTACAGATAGTTTTGAGATATGCACTTACTGGTTTGCAATATTAAGAATGATTTGAGAAATTCTCCAAACCAACTGATAATAACTGTAAATTGTAGGACTTATGCCACATTTCAAGAGAAGACAACGGTCTTTGTGGTCACCAGTATGTCCTCCTTAGTAGAATAACCAAAAATAAATAAATAAATAAAATAATAAAAGTTCTCACTTTGACCTTTTTGACAATGACCATGTCCTTGGGAAGGAATGCACTTCAGTATCAGATAGATAGATAGATAGATAGATAGATAGATCGATGGATAGATGTATAGATAGATCAGAATGGTCAGACGATAGATCTGACATTTACCTTCAAGTCCTCTGCATCACCTCTGGACTCGGTAGTCTCATCCAACGGAGTCCCTTTTTTCTGCAGCCACGATTGCAGGTTCTTGAAGTGCTTCTCAACACTTGCACCACAGGATGGACTGGAGAAGACAACTGTAGCACTTTGAACCATGTCATCCAGTTCTTTTAAAGTGCTTGCAGTTGTGAGGGCACCAAAGACATGCATTGCCAGGTGGTAGTGGTTTGTTGCACTGTGGAAAGTAATATCATAATTTAATTCGAATTTGAAATTATGTACTGCTAGTTAATTTTTTAAGACTAACATGACAGCATTAATGGATATTACTTAACTTGTGTTTACTAAAAACCCATTATGCTCTGCATTTAAGACTTGCTGCTATATTAGAAATGTACTTAATGCATCATCATCATTCTATACATTTCGCAGGCAGAACTGATGGAATGGAATCCTGATGGCACAGTGTTAAGAGTCTTTTAAAATGTTTGTGTTTTGAAAATTACAGTTTACACTTGTCTAAAAGCAGTAGACTGATGTGCTTAATAGACATCTCTGTTATTATTTTTTGGTATGAGTAAAAGAGATGTTGCTGTTTTGTTTTTGCACATTAATAAAACTTAATTCATCACATAAAATCGTTATGAAGTTCGGAACTTAGCAACTGTCAGTAAAAGACAAATGTCATAAACAATATTTTTTTTAATGTATGTTACAAGGATTTTGCAGTAATAATAGGTTCTGCTTACTACTTTCTGCACATTTCCTTTGCGTTCTTTATCACATGGCTGAGGCATCTATGCAGAATCGGCACATCAAAATCTTACTGTTTCCCTTTTCCACTTGCGATGTTGTAATAGTGGTTTATTGTGTCAGTCAGGTTTTTTTTGGCAAATGCCAGGCATATAGCCTGCATTAACACAATTGACCCGTCACAAATGACCATGACAGGTGACCGCATACCCTTCCTTCCAAACCACCTAGCCACGTCTGTTAGAAATGCCTCAAGAAAATATATAACTGAGGCTGTGGTGTGGTCGCAAGTAAGGTATGTCGCAACAGGTAATGGAGATGAGGTTTTGTGTGGGTTTCTAACCACCAACTCATACACATAGAACGGAGGTGACCCCGTCCCTTTCCGCATTATGCTTCCAGTCGCATCTAGGTAAATTATGTCCTCCTGGCATTGTTCCTGATATATGTGTATACTCCTTTGTGACCAAAGGAGGACCCCTTTTGGGTGTAGCATCACTTTCTGGAGTGCCTCATCAGGACTGTTTGTTCTCTTTTGCAGCATTATTTGAAGGCTGATTATTTCATTATTGTGTTGGAGGCTTGACTTACGGGCTTCCCATGAAATGTTTTTCAAGACATTGGGACTCGGAGCAACATCCCTACAGCCGGACTCCATTACATCCTCAGGTATTTTGGCTATGTTCTCTAGAAACATTGCTCGTGGGAGCTGTTTTTGTAATTCCTTCCCTAATGTTTTTCTGTCATTTGCTCTTACAGGTCTTCTTTTCAGTTCAGTGTGATTATGTATGCACTGTTCTCCCTGAAATTCTACTGTTGCTTTAAGGTCCTTGTCACTATCCACAGTCACTGTAACGGTGACTGGACAATCTTCGAATCGGCAGTAGGCAAGACATGAGAATTCTGGGCTGGCTTGTTTCAAACCCAATCCCTTCAGTCTGTGCCTTTTAAAAGCAAATGAACAGTACGGGTGTATTGTCCTCAGCCCTTTTGAAATTACTTTGGTCCATTGAAGTCCTGCAAAGCCTCTTTTTTTCCTCTTTTTTTTTCAGGTTATCCCACTCACTCTTGTCAATGAAAAAGAAGGAGGGGTTCTTAGGTACACAGATTTTGACAAACCCGTCTTCATCTGATTCACTGATCATGGAGCCCTAATGAAAAAGTACAATGTTAATGGTTTGCAATGAAGAACAATTTGTTTTTAAAAACTATGATCTACAGTAAACTACTTACGTGTTAGGCGTGAAAGTTGAATCTGTACTATAACAACTGAATTATTTGTCTGTTGCTTGATTTGGTGCTGCTTATTTGGGGGTCACATTTGGACTGTTCACTTGTCCATGTGCATTTTTTACATGCATGCGCTAAATTTCAATAACAAATTTCTACTTTATTAATTTGTATTTGGGGTACAATTTATGGTTCCAATCTATATTCTATACAAAACTATGTAACGTAATTCTAAAACCGTTTTTGTGTTATTAATACTGTCAAAACTGAATACAAATACTTGCAGTAATTCTAACATCAAAAATGTAAAGGGACATTACAAAAATAAACAAATTACTTATCAGCACAGTAGATGCGGGGGGTCGTCATATTTTTTTGTTCCTTGACATTTGTTTGTCATGTTTGCTTTATTTTTTCCAAAGCATTATATTGCTTCACTTCAGCTGTGACAAAGTTACATCCACAACTGCTTCACATGTTCATGTCTTTTGAAGGTGGAGCAATGAAGGGAGGATGTGTTTGTTTGGGTTGATTTCAAATATTAATAGTGTTTAACAACGTTTTTGAGAAATCACAGACTGCACCTATATTATTATGTGAAACCATAATAATTATAACCCTAAAGTGGACTCTTGTCTTTCTCAAGGACACTGTGAAAAACTCTCCTGAATATCAAAGTTATTTGGGTTAGAACCTTTCAATTACCAGACAGGCCTAGTGGCCTCACATACCCTGAACTGTTTTAAACAAACCACAAACAGTGATAACTAACTTGGTCTGGAGACTCGCGTCTTTGATCTCCTGCAGCACTTCCACTGTCCTCGGATGGCACTGGAGATGG